CAGGTTGCTCCAACCCCATCCAACTGGCCTTGGACGCTTCCAGGGATGAGGCAGCCACAGCCACATTATATTTCCAGTATAATCTCATCATCACTGAGTTCAATTACTGCCATGCCAGACAGCAGTTCASAATCTTTGATTATTACACATCAAGCGAGTCCAGCCAAGCTGACTCAGTTCCACAGCAGCACAGACTGTGTTGGTGTCTCCTGGGCAGGAAATCTGCCATGGGGTGAATTGTTCCCTTACACGGGCTGCTCCTGATGTTGTTTTCCTTGGCAGGCAGAATGTCCACAGGCTTACAAATAGCGAGARGGTGATGGACAGTTTTCTGGCTACGATCTGCTGAAGAACTAAGAAGAAGTTACAGGCACTTAAATATTTATTAGAKCAGCTTCCAATCTCCAACAGATTCCCCTTTAAACATTGAAGTCTGTTGGCAATTTCAATCAACCAATTTCTACTACAGAATGACCAGTAAGCAATAGATACAGCATACAGCTCTCCAGAATGAAAGAAGTTTATAGAGAAGCTTAAGGAGTTTTAGGTTGACWGTGAAGAACAGGAGAGTATTCCCTCATCATGGACTCTGAGCRATAAAATAAAAAGTACCAATATAAACAAAACAAAACACCCCCCAGCCCCTGCAAGAAACTGTTATTTCAGCTGCTACAGAAAGTGGTTWGATACTTCAGCTTTCCTTCCCTCTGAAATCTAGGTCTACCTTTTATTCTGAGGATTCATCAAATACAAAGAAAAATGGAGCAGGAGCCCGTGGGGGAAGCAGACCTACAACTGCAAAGAGAAACCAAGAGGCTCTATCATATCCACAGTTTTTTCAAAAYAGCCKTGAAAGAGTTGGTACATAGTCTTAMAAGTAYAGCTCCTAGCAAGATGTTACAGAGCTGGGATATAAAGGAACCTATAAAAACAGCCTTGGTTTTGTCACATTAATGAACCACACCTTTATCACYTTACTATGTGAGCTAACTTGCTGGTTTTAGGCTATGCTTCAGAATTTGTCCCCTTTTTGCAAGGGACARATTTTATTTTTCATTTCTCTGTTCCTCCTCAGAGTTTGAAAATGTATTTCCACTGTGTGTATCTGGGGATACCTTAGGAGTCTGGATAACCTCTGTCAACAGCAACAGGAGTCAATTCAGATCAGAAGTAAATTTCTTCAGGATGTGACCTTCCCAACAAAACTTACCAAAACAAAAAATATAGAATTTCTGGCTCTATTCCTCTAGCAAAACRGACTTAAGGTAGTATTAATCTAATGGTAGCATTAAACTCTTAAGATTTTGGTAAGACTACAAATATAAATGATGGAAGAAACCTTCCCAGCTATTGAAAGAAAAATGCTCTCCTGCTTGAAAATCCTTTCAAATAGTGGCAGTACTTAGATGCTCCATGTTTTGGTCAATATGGTAAAAGGCACTACYAGCACACACATTTTCATCCCTCTAATCCACTTAGGCTTTGGGTTTTAGCTTGCTCCCACCTTGGTACTTAAAGAACACTTCCCTGTAACCAAACCACCTCCTTAATGGTGGAAAACTTGACTTACCCTCAGAACAAGATGGTTTATGTAGTTGAGTATCTTCATAGAACAGGAATTTACTGTGAAAAGGATAAAAGAAACAAGTTTGAGTTCTACAGACCTTCACAAAACACAAGTAAACTCTGTTAAAAAGGTAAGCCAAGCTGACAAATGCTATCTGCGARAAGTTAAGATCCCCCAGACAAATAATCCAAAATATGGACAAATAGGTCCTGGCTACAGAGTGATGCCAAGCCTATATTCCATTCCACCKGTGACAATAGGCTGTTAGTGATCCATGTTACTGGTACCTAATTATCCTCAGAAGTGYTCTCACAGCTAGTAAACAACCCCCTCTATTACCTTTGTGACTGAGGCTGGTTCTCCCCATATTCTGTTGCACTGGAAAAACTAAATCCTTGCATTCCCAAAGCTCCTGAATCGCCCGTTATCTCTGCTGCCTGTGGAAACAARCCACATTTCAGTTCTACAATGGTGGAATTGCAAGCCAGGCAAAAAGGGCCCCAAAGCATGATGATAATCCCATGTAATCATTAAAATCGTGATAGATAATACTTGTCTTTAGGCACGTTTACCTGTACTTAGCTTACTTACATTAAGAAACACAACTTTTATTGCCTAGTGTAGCTAATAAACACCATTTACTCTTTGTAACCATGTAGAAACTTTCATAGATTTTAGTTACCCTGCAACAGTTTAAGACATATGTAAGCAGTTATGTAGCTTACAACAAAGTCTCCACTGTGTTTCATTATTTAAAATATTTACCATGAAGACATTGTTTTGGAAACAGAGAAGGAAGGAAGGGAGAGAAAGACAATATACTTTATTAG